ATTATTGGGTTTATTAAAGTTCACTTGCTTAGAACTCAGAAAAGATATTTACTCACATATATGACTTTATACAACATTATGCAGAGAACATTCTTACCAAGCCCACAAAAACCTATTTAACTTGCAGTATGCATTAACACAAACTACCAAAGGGCCTAACAAAATTTTAGGTGAAATTAGACACACACACACACACACACACACACACACACACACACAATTTTTCTCCCCATATGATGCCTAGAATTGAAAATTTCTTCATGTAGCTACCTATGTGGCAGCAGGTGGAGTAGTAACTTCTGTGCTTTAAGCCTCTGGTGGGGAATTTGTGGAGATGTACACTAGGGTAAAAGGTAAGATCTTCATCCTATATCTAAGGACTTAAAAGGTCAGGACCCACAGCCAGGGGAAAGACAGTGGTCTTTTCCTCCTCCAGGCAGGTGTCCTAGCAATATCCAGGAGATAAAAAGCTTCCTTGTTAAAGGATTCATTTATGTGCCCCTACCATCACTCAAACTCTATAAAGGACAACTAAAGTTGGCTTCATCTTCACTGAAGTGAAATACCTAGCCAGGCTATGCCGAGTATAACAGGGCCCTAGCATTGCTGTATGAGAAGAAAACACCATGCAAGGCAAGCAAAATCCAAGTGATGACAGTGTCTCTCTTGTCTGTGCACTCTCTCTCTTAATTGCTTTTCTTTTAATAGGATGAGGGATAAAAAGCAAGTGAGAATAGAAAAGTACCCGTCCATATCTTGTTTTTTTTTTCCTACCCCTATCTCAGCAAATCACCATTTGCCCTTGAGAAACTCAACAAGGCAAGGAAGGTGCAACGCACAAGTAGCTTAGAAGAAAAAGAGCAAAGGAGGAAAAATCAACAGTAGGTAAAGATGAAGCACTGAAGTGGGCCTAGCAAAGGAGTCACAGAGGGTAAGGGAGAGGTGAGGATAAATAACAAGTGAGTATAAATACATGAAGAATATATTTTGTAGCACTAGGTATTTCTAGGGTTAGCAAGTTCTGAAGACTCAGACTCTAAACCTCAAAAAAGTCATTCTGACAGAAGCATAGAATCCCAGAATATCAAAAGCTGAAAGGGCCCTTGGAGACTACCTAGTCACACAGCTCTTAATTTTTGTGGGTCACAAACCCATCTGAGACTATGGTGAAAGCTGCACATCTTCTCCCCAAAAGGAAAATAAAACATACCCAGATTCATGCACAATGAATTTCATACACAATTTCAGGAGCTTCACAGACATCAAAGCTCACTCAGAGGTCCCTACCTAACACCAGCTCCCTCAATTTTCTGATAGACAAAGAGAACCAGAGAGGATAAGTCACTTGCCCCAGGGCATGTGTTAAGTGTCATTCAGACTTCTTGGCCTACACTACACACCCTATCATCAAGTCAGGCTCTGCACCTAGGCTGTCTCTCTGCATTCCAGAGCTATGCCCCAGTGCTCTGAGATGGGCTTCTGGATGCTTTGACAGACCTGCTGCTGACCACACCCTCCTTCACAAATTAGGGTTTGTGGTCCATGTCATTTAGAGTCCCACACAACAGCTTTTAGCAGTTTGGGATATCCTGTAGTCTTTTGGTGGCTGTCTGTTTAGCAGGCCTTAGCCACTGGAAGCATCTTTTTTCATCCCAGTTTGCAAGTACATTCTAAGCAGTAAGCCTGAGTTGTCTGTATTAAGCCAGGAGTCCTTCTGTAATACAATTTCTCTGAGGTATGCTCTTCTCCTTCCATCCAGCCAATTCAAATCTCCTCTCTTCCCAAACAGAACTATGCTATTCTCTACTAATTCAGTTCATTCTGTTTGCCCCCAAATTCATTCCTACCTTTTAATCCCTAACTCTCAGGCTATCTCTACCTCTCGCAGGGGAGCACTAACATTTCCTTGCAAAATCAAGTTCTTTTCCTTTTAATCCTCTATTTCCACTGTAGAGATTTTATTACTATTCACAATTCTGACAATTGCTGATATCTATAAAAATCCCATATAAATCCATTCCTCTACTCCCTAAACGTCACAACTAAAAATCTTCCTATACCACTACCATCTCGCCAACATCTTCCACCATCCCTGGCTTATTCAACTAATTAATCCTTTCCTCAGATCACACCAGGCCTTCCTGGGTCCATGTTTATCTCTTATTAACACATTTTACAGGGCAGAGATAAACCAACTATCTTACAACTAACCATAAAACTTAAGGATCTCCTCTTCCATAAAATTTTCATAATTCTGAACCAACTCCTCTATTCTGTATCACATTAATAACAATTCTATGGAGATACTTCTTTTCTGGATTGCTGTTACCTGTCCATCCATCTATCTCCTCTATCACTGTCTACTAAGTGCTAGGTGGTGACAAATTGTTTCATTCCATGAAACTTACTGCCTCAGAAAGCAGATCGATTCTTTTTTTTTTTTTTAATTTTTATTTATTTATGATAGTCACAGAGAGAGAGAGAGGCAGAGACATAGGCAGAAGGAGAACCAGGCTCCATGCACCGGGAGCCGACGCGGGATTCGATCCCGGGTCTCTAGGATCGTGCCCTGGGCCAAAGGCAGGCGCCAAACTGCTGTGCCACCCAGGGATCCCAGCAGATCGATTCTAACACCAGTTTCTTTTAACTCCATCACTTCCATTACTATCACTTAAATTACCTTTTATTACCCTCACCAAAAATACCTTTCTCCCATTTAAAATTCCCCAATGGCCTCAATCATCTATCTGGTCAAGGGTTTCCCTGCCCTTCAGGTTCTGATACCTTTCTTTAGTTTCTATTGGTTTCAGCTCGTTCATATCTAAATAATCTTGTATGTCACTTCATTTGACCCCATTCCTAACATCATAGATCTTCTATATCTACTACCTAGGATAGCCCTTCTTGCCTAAAGAAGTGCCATACCACATCTACCAAACTGCTCAAATAGAAAACAAACACACAGAATTCTAGTGCTAAATGGGTCTAGGAACCACCTGGTCCAACCCTTCATCTTCCAGATAAGGAAAAGTGAGGCTCAGAGAGGTATGCCGGCTTGTCCAAAGACACAAGTCAGAAACTATGAGTGCTGAAGCAAGGATACAGGTCTCAAACTCCAAGACAAGACCAAGTATATTTTACTATGTCACTTTACCTTGCTGAAACCTCGTTTTCCCTTTTTCTCTTTTGCTATGCCTTAGTATCTTCTTCACTCAAGTGTGTTACCTGCAGGCACATATTCATTTAAACGAACGCAGACACAAGGGGTGTCTGGTTGGCTTAGTCAGTAGAGCATGAGACTCTTCATCTCGGGGTTCTAAGTTTGAGCCCCATGTTGGGTATAGATTACCTAAAAATAAAATCTTACAAAAATAAATAAACACACACACACAACCTATATTCCTTACCCTAGGAGAACATAAGAATCACAGCACTGCAATTTTTAAAAAGACAAAAGGAGGCTCAGGGGTCACCTGAACCAGTTAACTGTCAGAAGTTAAAAATTACAAGCACAGATTTTTCAATCTATAGGACTACACAACATGTAGCTTTCCACATCCCACCTCTTCTCTCACCCTGAAAACCAGGGCCTTATAGAGCCATTCTTTTATTCTTCAATTGTGCTCAGGGTATGGGAAAGAGGATTAAGAACCAGTGGCCTAATCCAACGCTCTCATTTGCTAGCTGAGAAATCCCAAGTCCAGAGAGCCCAAAGGAATTTGCCCAAAGTGCCAGCTAGTTAACAGCAGCTCTAGGATAAAGAAAAAAAAAAAAAAAGAGGTCTCCCATTATTCACACAGGTGTGTTTTCACACTGCTGGCATGGATTCATAAAACAAAGTCGTCAGGACAGAGTTTCTCCCTGCACAAGAACCTTCCTAAGTACCCAGCTGCCCTTGGCCAGTTTGGGGCCTGGAAAGAAACACGTAGACATCTCTTATCAGTCAATTCCTAGCTATCCAGGAGGCAGAGAAGACAAGCTTTTCAGGTCTGTCTCTAAGGAAAGACTCCTTTAAAGGGAGCTGGTAATCTGATTTTCAGAGCTAGGAGAAGCATCAGAGGCAACCAACACTTTCCTTTTACAGATACGCAAGCTGTGCTACAGCAGAAGGTAATGGACCTGGGCAAGGTCACACAGGGAGTCGGTGGCAAGGTAAGACTAGAACTTGAGGCTCCTGAACCCAGGCCTGGCCGCCTCTCAGAGCTGTATTCCCTGCGTCTTGCCAAGGGACATGCCCTCAGCACGCTGACTACAGATCTTCCTCAACATATCGGCTTCAACACTGACAGCGTTAAAACTGTAGAATTCGTGGCGCCCCGGGTGGGAGGGAGTCCCATAAATTGCCCAGGCCAACCCCCCACCCCGCCCCCATTCTGGGGCAACCTAAACCCAGAGAGGGTTCTATATGCTAGAATCTTCGGCCAGGTCTGGACGAGGTAAGCAAACCCCGCAACCAGGGCCTACAAGGCCAAGACCCACACACCCAATCTCTGCTCTCCTGGGATATCGAGGCCCGAAAGGGGCCAGAGACCGAGAGTCCGGGCGGTCGGGAGCCCGGGAGCCCCCAGACGGCCTCCTCCCCCCCGCCCCGCCGCCGCCGCCGCCGCCGCCGCCGCCCACACCCTGGCTCTGCGGCCTGCCGCTGGTCCCCGGCCCACTCGGCCGCCACCTCACCTAAGCCGGCCCTCTGTCTGTTATTGTGGTTGAGAGGGTGGGAGAAGCGCGACCGACACTTCCCGCGGCCCCCACCGCCGCAGCGCTTCCGCTTCCGCCGCCGCTCGGGCATTTCCGGAGGGTTGCCTTCCGGGGCTGGGCTCGCTCCCGGCGTCCATGTTGGGTGTGGGACGCAGGCTTCCAGTCACGGCAGCCATGTTGAGCGTGGCGGTTTGGGGGGTGGGGGGTGGGGGGGTGGGGGCGGGTGGGGCCCGTCCCTGTTTCCGGGAGGGCGTCCGCGCGCCGGAAGCGCCTGGAGTCTGACGCTCGGGAGGCAGGTACTCGCTTCGCAGGTGTTGGGCGGCCTTGGGGAAGCTTTTGGAGTCAAAGGGCCGCGTTCCAGTAGGGACTTTGCCAGAATTCGTTTCGTTTAGCTAAAAGAAGACTTTTTTTGGGCGGGGGGAGGGGGGCTTCCTATTCCTTCCTCGAGGCCGAAGCTGGTCTTCCCGCTTTCCCCGCTGTGCTTTGGCATCATAGGTTTCGGCTTATCTTGGCAGCTTATCAGAGTTCTAGCTGTGCCATTCCACTCTCAAACCACGTGTCTCGAGTTAGGGCTCTGGGAAGAAAAAGCAACAAGACCTCATCATAGTTATATACTGTTCATCGTAATGCCCGCCTTCACGTCACCTTACTCCTCTAAGGGAGAATGACATCCTCTTCCCAGGTCCGTTGCTTTCCTCGATTTCTTCCGTATTGGAACTTAAACAAACAATGAACACCGTGGCTTTTTCTGTTTTCCGGATCGTTTAGAAAAACAGATAGGAATTCTGTACGCAAGTGTCTGGCACTGAGCCTGGCATAGATACAAGGGACTTATCTGGGTGCAAATGGGTCTTTATTTCAGTATATTACTGAATTTCATTAGCCTTCCTCCTTTGGTAAAAATGTACTATGGTGGGACCAGAAATACAAATGAGATGTGTTTCCTGCTTCAGATTTACAGAGAGAAACAAAGTATGTATCTTTTAAGATTTTGTTTATTTATGCATGAGACAGAGACAGAGAGAGGCAGAGACACAGGCAGAGGGAGAAGCAGGCTCCATGCAGGGAGCCCCATGTGGGACTCGATCCCGGGTCTCCAGGGTCACACCCTGGGCTGAAGGCAGAGGCTCAACCACTGAGCCAGCTGGGTGTCCCAACGAAAGCATATCTACAAACATTGTAATAAATGCTGAATCAAGATGGTTTCTGAGTGATATATGCCCGCTGTGTATAAATAGACTTAACTAGTTTTAACATTCTTTTTCTTTTTTTTAGATTTTGTTTATTTATTCATGAGAGACACACACAGAGAAAGAGAGAGAGAGAGAGAGAGCGGCAGAGACACAGGTAGAGAGAGAAACAGACTCCACCCAGGGAGCCCGACGTGGGACTCGAACCTGGGTTCTCCAGGATCACGCCCTGGGCTGAAGGCGGCACTAATCTGCTGAGCCACCCGGGCTGCCCTAGTTTTAATATTCTTTTACTCAGATTTTATTTATTCATTTGTAGGGCGGGGGGGAGAGGGGAGACGGGAGACAGAGAAGTAGAGGAGGAAGAATAAGCAGACTCCCTGATGAGTGCAGAGCCCTACACAAGGCTCACTCTCAGAACCCGAAGATCATGATCTGAGCCGAAATCAAGAGTTGGACGCTTAACTGACTGAACCACCCAGGCGCCCCAGTTTTAACATTTTAAGGTAGAATGTGTGCATCCCTTTACCTCCGAGATTTTTTTGTTCCTTGGTGATGTGGGTTTTTATTAGAGTCCTGAGCTAGTGTTCCCTGCTCTCATACAGTGGCATCATCAGGGAAGCTCTGCCCTCTACAGTGAAATCTGCCCGACGCTAAATGGCCCTGAACCACTGTGGGTTTGTTTGTTTGTTTTTTTAACTCCCTACTTTTTAGCTAAAATTTTTTAAGATTTTATTTTTATTTTATGCATGAGAGACCGAGAGAGACAGGCAAAGGCAAAGGGAGAAGCAGACTCCCCACAGAGGAGGGAACCTGACACAGGATCCAATCCCAGAACCCTGGGATTTTTACCTGAGTTGAAGGCAGACACTTAACTGACTGAGCCACCCAGGCACCCCTTAGGTATTTTTAAATACCTCTTACTTCTCATACTGACATAGTTTCTAGCACCAACCTCTCTCCTCCCTTGAAACTTCTTAGGCCTTTAAATGAGGACTGACATTTGTTAGAAGGTCTTAACACTTAAGAAAACAGGCTGTGGTTGAGAATAGAGGACAGGGTTTGTTCAGGTCCACTTAGGGCTATGCGGCCTGTGTAAGGCACAACTGCAGGAGGTGCCATGTATGTCGGGGTCAGCCACATTACACTTGGAGTTGAGTAATGTGGTAAAACCAGCTATGAATTTATTATTTTTTAAAGATTTTATTTATTCACGACACACACAGAGAGAAAGAGGCAGAGACACAGGTAGAGGGAGAAGCAGGCTCCATGCAGGGAGTCCAACGTGGGACCAGGATCACACCTTGGGCTGAAGGCGGCGCCAAACCACTGGGCCGCCGAGGCTACCCTCAGCTATGAATTTAAATTCAGGATTTTTTGAGAAGTAAGTCCCTTTACAGCTGTTTCAGCTGAGAAACTGTATATTCAGTAGTCAGCAATGCAGGCTTTACAATTTTAGAAGTTTAGAAAGCTCTGGTTCAAATGTGAGTTCTCTGCTTACTGGCATGAGACCGTGAGCAAGCATTTCAAGTCTTGGCTTCAGGTCTACCAAGTAAAAATGGACATCACTATGGAACCTACATCATAAACCACTGCAGAAGTTAGTGGTTTAACACAATTTGTTATGATCTGTCATGCTACTGTAGGTTGACTGGGTGGTTCTAGCTTGGGCTCTCTTACACATTTGCCATCAGGTGTGAGCTGAAACTATAGTTAACGTCAGGCTCAAATGAATGTTGTTATTGGTGACTCAGGCTGGAAGCCCTAGGGGCTCAGCTAGAGCCATCCATCAGAGTGCCTGCATGTGGCCTCTTTCTCTGGTTTGGGTTTCTCACAATAAAGTGCTTCTCTGGGAGCTCTGAGAGACAGAAAATGCAGAGAGTGAGCTGTTCCAAGCAGTAGAGTAGGACTTCTTATGATCTAGCCTAGGATCCCAGAAGTTCCTTCTCTCATGATCTATTGGTCAAGAAGACACTAAGCCAGCCTAGATTCAAGGGGAGAACAAGACTCCACGTCTTAATTGAAGGAGTAGCAAAGAATTTGTGGCCATTTTTAATTTACTGCACTTCCTCATCTTTTTGTTTGTCTGTTTGTCTGTTTGTTTGCTATATGTAGCAGGTATCCAAAAGAAAGACTGGGAACCCTACCAGTACAGTTTTGAGTCTGCCTGTGAATGATTCTTTATGTGTTTCTTTTTAATTGTGTAAAAACACAGATAAAAAATTTACCGTCTTAACCATTTTTAAGTGTAGACTTCAGTGGCATTAAGTATATTTACATTGTTGTGCAACAGTGACCACCACCCACCTCTTTATCTTCCCAAATTGAAACTCTACCCACTAAACAACTCCCATCCCTGCTCACGCCCAGCCCCTGGCAATCCCCATTCCACTTTTTGTCTCTATTTACCTAACCTAAGTGGAATCATATAATATTTGTCCTTTTATATTTGACTGCTTTCACTTAGCGTAATGTCTTCAAGGTTCATCCATGTTGTGGCATGTGTCAGAATTTCCTTTTGAAGACTGAATAACATGCCGTTGTATGTATACACCACATTTTGTCAGTCCATCCATTGGTGGACATTTGGGTTGTTTTTACCTCTTGGCTATTGTGGATAATGTTTCAGTGACCATGAGTATGCAAATATCTCTTCTAGATCCGCCTTTCTGTTCTCTCATATATATATCTAAAAGTGGATTGCTGGATCATATGGTAATTTTATTTTTAATTTTTCCACAGCAGCTGCACCATCTCATATTTTCACCAACCGTGCACAAAGGGTCCCAATTTCTCCACATCTTTGCTGTCTTCTGTTTTTTGTGAGGTAATGTTTGTAATCTACTTAGAGCAGTGCCTGGCATGTGTCAAAACCCACAAAGCTTAGCTATTATTATTTGACTGTCCAGAGGCCTTTCTTTCCCTCTTCTCAGCTATAATTGAAGTTGCAAGGGCTGAATTCTTAGCATGAGATATTTCTGAAGTTCATTTTCAAAGCATTTTACATTTTCGCAAGTTACATAAGGAAATCCTAAGAAGGGATATTGTACCTAGGTATATGCATTGAGAATTGCAGTTTCAAAACCAAACACAGGTTGGTAGATTAGGGAGAAAAAAAAAACACCCAAAAATACAACAATAATAACAACAACAACAAAAGAGAGAGAAGGAAGAAAAGAAGGAAGGAAGAGAAACAAGGAAAAAATCTGCATGGGAGGCTTTTATGAGCATAAGCTCTGAGTAAGCACTAAGCAACATGGCCTTTGCTTTTTATTTTGAATTTGGACCAAACTACACCAGACCAAAGTTATGTCATGGAAAAGTGGGAAAATGAAGGATGAAACTTAAGAAACTAACAAGCTTTCTTTTTAAAATTACTCGTATTGTGTTTTCCCCAACACTACATTCATCTAGTGCAAATCCTTTAGCCTGATCTCTAGAAATATCAGAATAAAGAAATTACTCTTTAGAAAATGGTTTGAAATGTCAAGAACTATTTACAATCAGCTGACATTTGTTAAAAGATTTCGTGGAACCTAAGAATATATGAGACACCAGGGCTGCAGAGATGACCAGGGACCAGTCTCTGCTCTTAGGCAGGCTAGAGACATCATTTACAAAAACACTTCAGGGGAATCCCAGGATGCCCGGCAGCACAGCAGGCACTAAGTGAGTCCAAACTGTTTGCAGCTATACTTGAAATAACTGCAAGTACTCTTTAAACTCACTTTCCCTCCCCTGTGGTCTTCTGTGTCACTACTTCTTAATTGTATCTCTATCTCCTAAATCATCCTGGCTCTAGCCTCTCCCTTGCAAAGTCTTACTTTCATTGTGTTTGTTTTGGTTTTGCATTTTTAATGTCACAGTGACACTCTACCAATCATTTAAATACATCATCAGTTTAAGCCAATGAATTCTGTGACCTAAGGATCACTTGTCCCATTTTATAAGTAATGCAACTCAGGTTAAGTATTTTGCTAAAGGTCACATAGCTAGTAAATTGGAGAGAATCATTGTGAAACTAAGCTATCTGACTTCAAAACCCAAATTCCTAATTACTAAATGGTACATTCTTGTAATTTTTCCTCCAAGTGATAATCTGATTAATCTTCCTAAAGCATGCTGTGAATTGTGTCAATGGCTTCTTTGTGATAGTATTTTCAACCTTTATGTATACATTTATAACTTGTTAATAAGAGGCCCAAAGCCCATACACATTGATTGTAGCCTACCATTTCAATCTCATTTTCCTTCACAAACAATAAGTCCTAGCTGTGCACAGGATCACTGTTTCCCTTTGGATACCTTGTGACTCTCCCCTTTATCTTACCCAAATGAACAGGTTACCTCTCTATAGGCAGAAGGTGAATCAATGTCATTCAGCTATTACAAGGAAAGAAATGGAAGATGGGCCCCTAGGTGAACCCAATACTGGGACAGAAAATGATGTTCCAAAGGTAACAGGGAGAGAATCGTTGTAATTTTTAAAAGCTAATTGCATTTTGAGTCTCACATGGTTCATGAATTTATTCAATATATATTTCTTGAGTGCTTGCTCTGAGTCTAGGCATTGGACTAAGTGCAAGGAAACAATTGTGATGATAAACCTTCAGTTTGGAAAGAAAAGACATAAATAAATAAGCATAGAGGTGAATTGGTTTCTCAAAATTTAACAAATGGAGAGGGGCACACAGTTAAGTTTTATTGAATGAAGGAATTCATGAATGGATAAATAAATGGATAAATCCATTTATACTCAATTTTTCCTTCTAAGTGCTTCAATTGCATCACAAATGAAACCTTCCCAAATAAATAAACATAATTCTATTCAATTAAGCATATAAATATGGCAAATGACAACTTCTCCTCAAAATGACAATAATATTTTAGTTTTAATAAAATTCTTATTCTTTCAACTTAAAATTCTAAGTTCAAATCAATACTCAAAAAACTTTTAATAGAATAAGATTCATGCATTCTTTAATATGCTGTATTTTCTTAAAATATGACAAACATTTTATTTTTTATTTTATTATTTTTTTAAATTTTTATTTATTTATGATAGTCACACAGAGAGAGAGAGAGGCAGAGACATAGGCAGAGGGAGAAGCAGGCTCCATGCACCGGGAGCCCGATGTGGGACTTGATCCTGGGTCTCCAGGATCGCGCCCTGGGCCAAAGGCAGGTGCCAAACCGCTGCGCCACCCAGGGATCCCTTTTTTTTTTTTTTTTAATTTAGACAAACATTTTAAATGACACTGCTTATAATTTCTGAACACAAAATAGTAATATAGATACAATTTAATCTTAATTTCTATATTTACACTTAATCTTTTGTATTATAAGACAATCATGTAAAAAAAATTCCATTTCCCATATCCGGGATTGTAGTTGCATGATTGGAGGGGTGTTGAACTGGGTCCCCGCATTGCCTTCTTCCCACCCTTTTTTCCTTTTGGCTCCTGAGCTATAAGGACACTTGCCTGGGGAGGTAGCAGCCATTGTCTCTTCATGTAGATGGAGTCTGTATGTCTGTAGATTGAGTCATTAGCTCAGCACTTAATGAAAGACTAGCAGAGGGCAGAGATGGACTCCTGGTATTGCTTAAATCTGTGGCTGTGCTTGAGTCAAGACCCATCCTGAATCCTAATTGCATGAACCCATATATTTCTTATTTAGCCTAAGCTAAATTGCAGTTGTATTTTCATCATTCTTTTTTCAAAAATATTTATTTATTTGAGAGAGTGAGAGAGTTGGGGGGTGGGGAGAGGAGGAGAGAGAACCTCAAGCAGACTCATGCAGAGCACAGAGCCCAACACAGGGTTTGATCTCATGACCCTGAGATCATAACCTGAACTGAAACCAAGAGTTGAATGCTTAACCAACTGAGGCACCCTGGATTTTCATCACTCTTAAAAAGAATCCTGATACAGTTCCTGTGATTGCTAGCCAGTGTCCTCCCTTATGATCTCAAACCTTCACAAAACATTTCTTACCCCAAATAGCTTTGAAAGTGCTTGAGGAATGAAGGAAGATGGGGAGGGTCTCATTTGCACCAAAGTGGTAGGAAGTGAGGCATCAGTATCAGGTGAAATGAGGAGCTGATGGAGAACTCTGCAAAACTAGAGCTATAGAGCAAGTAGTAAGAATATAAATGCCCTGGGATCCGCTTACTAGACTTCTTGGTTTATGGAATGGGAAGTTAAATAGTTCTGTGTGAATGAGTACAGGAGCATGGTTTCCAGAAGGCTTAGATCTCTGGGTGACATTTCCTTGCCTTCTACCAAGATAAGTGTTACTGTGATACAAAAAGGCTAAATAGTTAATTATAGTAAAGGAAAAAAAATATAGCAGGGGATTGAGTTGAGTTTTGCACAGGCCTAAGGGCAATGTCAGAATCAGGGGAGGGAAAAATGGCATCCAGAAAGGATAGTGCCAACACATCTGTTGTTTTTGCTTGACTTTCATTCATTTATTCTGGTAATAGTGCCTCAGTATTCCTTCAGGGAACAATTCTTTTATCTTCTTCTAGTCCGTATAGAGGGGCTGTGTCAACCCTGGCTCCTGCAGTGCCTTATAACTCAGTCCATTTCAATGAGAGTTAAGCATGCCTATAGCCAAATATTGTAGGCTGATTCAAGACTCTATTCCAGCTAGTCTAATAAACCTTAAATCTTTTATTAGACGTTTTAGGAAAGGAAAGCTGTCTACTGAAACTGTAACTCTAGAACTGCTTAGGTCTGCTGCAGGGATGGGAGTGAGGCGAGGTTGTCAGTGTCTTTCTAAGAATGAAGACAACACCAAGGAAGGCATGGGGGGATCCCAAAAGTGGAGAGGAAAATTTCTGGCAACTTTTTCTGAGACTCTGATCTAGCCATGCTTGAGTTCAGAGATTCCTCTGGACTTCTCAGATGCAGGAGCCCTAGAAATTGCCAGACACACACTTCTTGTTTTTGATTTTTTAACTTCAGTCACTTTGAGTAGGATTTTCTTTTGGAAGTTATTCTTCCAAAGAAGTTGGCTATATTACATGTGGTTTCCCCACTAGAGGGTGTAGCTTACTCTTTAGTGATTAAGACTTTTTTTTTTTTTGGATTGGTAATGCTAGCAGCCTGGCATATACTGTCAGAGAACCCCTGTTGGGTTGGTGCAGGGTCCCAGCCACAGAGCTTACCTCCCTGACAGGGCCCCTTGTCTTAGGAGGACTGAGAAAGCAGTCAGATAACCAAGTCATGGCTACCAGCATAGGAGATGGAATAGGACTAAGACAGCAGGTGAAGACTTCATCTTGAGAATCATGAAGCTTTTGTAGTTTTAAAAAGGGAAATAAGTTTTGTATTCCAAGCCAAATCTGATTGGCAAGGCATACCTGGATTGTTATGTTGAGAAAGATTTTGAGACCACATAGAGTTCAGTGGAGTGTATAGTCATTGATTCCTGATTACTGGTGCAGGCATGGGGAGAGGTGGGACATTTCTCAATAGGAATACTATTGGCATTTTGGGTGGGTCATTTCTTCACTGTGTGGGACTCTTCCGAGCATTACAGAGCCTTAGTCCACTGAATGCAAGTAGTACCACTCCAGTCTTTGTGACAAGCAGAAGTCACCCACACATATTTTAATGGCTCTTATGAGAATAGTACTACTCTACTTAAAAATCATTAGGTTTGACCAAGAGTGAGTTAACTTGGATTTACCTGAGGAACTAGAACTTCTTAAATTCTTTAAGACTAAGGGGGAATAAATGAGTTTGTTTTGTTTTAGATTCTGAGTTCAGACTGAGTTTGCCATCAAGAATGGATAGTGATTGAGAATGGGAAATGAAGAGTCTCCAGAAAAGGGAAGAAGTGCCTATTGTGACAGAGTCAAGTAGAATGTAACTGGAAGTGATTCACGTGTTATTCCGGGTTGAGAAAGAGTAGGGGGAGCCTGAGCAGTGGGGAAGAGTGTATTCTGTTAAACGTCAGTGTCATTTAGGGGATCCTCATCCCACCTTCAGGTTCCATTATATTTAGGTGACTCTTTGGTCAGTGTCATCTTTATATGATGCTCTCAGCTGCCCTCCACTCCGTACCTCTGAATCCACCTAATAATATCAGTCACCTTAAATTATTTTTGGAACAAGGTATCATATGAGTCAATGAATGGAAAAATAAATGAGTAAAATATTCCCTATCCCTTAAGAGTTCAAATATCACCTATTTTCATATTCTTTTTCCCCCTATTTTCATATTCTTAATGCCCCTCTCAATGCCTTGAAAGAGGAGTAAGAAAAGAGAGTTTTGAACAACAGGCATGATACTGTTGCCACTTTCCAATTTTGCATTTGTCAATGACCTCCAGCCAAAGAACACGAAAGAACATTAGAGTTGAACAAGTTGGGTTTATGATATGTTGCAGAGAGAGAGAACACACATGGGAAGCCGTAGGAAAGCTCAGTGAAAGGATATTATAAAGGATTCATTGTAGGATTTGGGATTGTTAAATTAATTTGGGGAAAATTTAAGGAAGGCTGACTTTGCTGTAGATTGCATGCCCTCAATATGTTTGATATCTTAAAAAGTCTATTTAGAAAGAGGGAAGAATAGCCAAAGGCTAAAGTTGTAATTGGCAGAGAAGCAGTAATCACTTACATTAGTTAGGGGATGTTTGGTATTTTGTAGTTTGCATAATGTTCACATTTTGCCTGTGTTCAGGTGTGATTATGGAGTGATACTGTCTTAGTCTAGATTCATCATGGCTTTACTGGGTGTTAATGTTCTGTGAAATTGTTTGTGTTAAACATAACATCAAGGCCTCACTGTGAGTAGGATAACCTACAGCAATGCCAAAGTTGGCTCCTAGAAGTTATGGGGTTGTTTTCTTACCCACGTTGTCATATTTTTAAATAATTATTCATTTTCTTGTTCCCTTGCAGGATTATAAAACTGCATAAGGACCTAGATATGTTTTGATTACCACTGAGTTCCCAGAATTTAACCAAATCTCTGATTTAATTTAACCAATTCAACCCAATATTGACTGAGTAAATGAATAAATTGTCCAATTAGCCTATCAGACTGTGAGTTGCTCAAAGCCAGAGTTCATTTTCTACTCAGCTCTGTATTTCTAGAAACAAACACAATTCTGACGCGTCTCATTAAATATATCTTGAGTTAAAGAGAGACTTTCCATTCGGATAAGATTTATTGATTTTTTAAAAATAAACAAATATAATGAATTCCACTTTTTGAAGGAAAGACAATGCTTAATTTAAATGAGTTCACTCCCGACGAAGGAAAATCACGTCATATTCCAAACTTTTCTGGTGTTTCTGCATTTTCCACTGTGTTGAATTCTAAGAGTTAGTTTCAAAGCTCTAAGAGAAATTGATATAAATATTTAGAGACCGTTTGTATGCAATATAACCTTCCTTCCTTCTAAGCTAGCTGTACTCCAATAAGGATTTGAAGGAAGGGAGGCCTTGATTTGTAAATGCCTGACTTACAAATAACCCATAGCTACAATGATATGCTCTCCCCTCACTCTACCTTTATATTGGAGACTCCTCTACTTTATAATCATGGTGAAAACTTATTAGAACTTTTAGCAAATGTGTGAACCTGTATATCAAGAAGTATTGGGAAGGACAATGATTCACTGAGGTACCCTTGGGAAATTTTTTCACTTTACCTTATCTGTAAAATGACCACAATTATGAGTGCCAACTGAGAAAGTTCTTCGTGGCTCACTGTGAAAGTGCTCTATGAACTGCAAGCAGGAAGGATTTTTATTGCTGAGGGCAAGGGACATAGTGGTCAAAAGCAAAATAAAGACAACAATGTGGAAAACATGAAGAAATTATACTTTTTCACTGAAATATAATAACAACAGCAAGCCAATCACTACATTTTGGCTAAATTATAGCCAATGGGCTTTTGCTATTGCATTTTTCGTGAAAAAGTGGTTCATTTTTTTGTTGTCTTTTTAAAGATTTATTTATTTTAGAGAGAGAAGATGGGTAGAGGGAGAGAAAGAAGGAGAGAATCTCCAGCAGACATCCTGCTGAGTGCAGAGCCCTTGGTAGGTGTCTGTCTCAGGACTCTGAGATCCTGGCCTGAGTCAAAATCAAGAGTTAGATCTTAACCAACTGTGTCACCTTAGTGCCCTGCAAAAAAGGAGTCCATTTTTTTTTTTTTAAAGTTTAACACTAGCTACATAGGAGCTACTGGAAAATGATTAAAATTTTCATATTCTGCAAATACTTCCTATTTGACATTGGACAACAATTAACTTTGGAGTCTGTTCTTTTTTATGTAAAAAAGGGAATAATTATATTTCTGCCTACAGGTTAATGGTAGTGTGAGTCTCACAGGTGCTCTGTCTGGGAAAGTACTTTCCATGCTGTGGCAGGATTTATAATCATGTATTATTTTTGATAATACTATATTTTCCCCCCTTTTTCTGCACCTAGTACAGTATCTCAAACTTATAGGTACTTACTAAATATTCATGAAACAAATATGAGAAATTGTTCTAAAAAATTCTAAAACTCTAGCCAAGTATAAGATTCTAATCATGAGATAATACAAAGTTTAGCTTGAAGGTTCTGGATTCTCCCCTTGCTACGCTATGACATCTTGGATATGTCCCTAAATTATTCTAAGCCTCAGTTTCATCATCTATAAAATGGGAGTTAATACCAATACCTCCTTCATAGAATCCTTTTGAATATCGAATGAGATAATTACCATGTACTAGCATGCACAGTGGCTGGCTTATAATACAAAAGTTACATTCATTTATTTAAAGTTTCTGAAAATCCCCATCCTGTATTCTCTTTAATATATTTTGTATTTCTGTGTATATGTAATGAATATATTTTTCAAAATCTGATCATACTATATATATCATTTTATATCCTCATATTTTCTCTTTTTTAACTTAACATTGTATCCTGCATATTTTTAGAGAACTATATAACATCTAGTAAAATTTCTTTTTTTATTTATTTATTTATTTTTTTTTTATGATAGTCACACACAGAGAGAGAGAGAGGCAGAGACACAGGCAGAGGGAGAAGCAGGCTCCATGCACCGGGAGCCCGACGTGGGATTCGATCCGGGGTCTCCAGAATCGCGCCCTGGGCCAAAGGCAGGCGCCAAACCGCTGCGCCACCCAGGGATCCCTAAAATTTCTTTTCATTATATATAGCTTGAACCTTTAAGCATGGTGTTCAGCCAGAGGTCTTCAGTGTGCCCAAGCAGATCAACCTTTCAAGTCCCCCAGGATGCAGAAATAAAGTACTGGCAGAACCTGAACTAGAGCTAGAAGGATGGAGGGAGGCACATATGCAAAGTATAAAGTTGTGCTTGGTCCCCTCATCTTATCATGAATGCATCCTGGCCCCACATTTGGAATGCCTCGAAAATCTGAGAAGAAAGAAACTTCATGTTAAATGCGACTGATGAATTGTTGAACTCTACCTCTGAAACTAATGATGTTCTACATGTTGGCTAATTGAATTTAAATTTAAAAAAATTAAAGTATAAAAAAAGAAAAAGTTACAAACCTAAAGAACAAACAAAAAACAGCCACAGGTTAAAAGAGACAACTGTGACAGCTGGGGGTTAATCTGTCTTATGTGTGAACTCTCTAGAAATGTCTAGGCATGAGAAGCAGAATGGACTTCTTAACTGCCTGGGACAAAAAGAAGATTGGCAGTAGGACATAGATGTATTAAACATAGGAGAGATGGATATGGACAAGGATATTTAAGTGGCAGTGCCATAATAGGAAAAGGAGCATATTTTATCTAAGAAAATTGTATTTCCTCCAGTGCTACTAATGTCTTTGAACTTATCTAAGAACTATGTGGAAAAATGAAAACCTCAGAAAATACTAAATTTCTTTCTAGCAAAGTCAGAGGGCATTGGAGCATTGAGATTTTAGAATTATCATAAACAGTGACACAATTGCCTTCCCCATTTCCCAAGAAGTATTGGCTACAGTTGTACTACAAATTATTGAAACCAATCATGTATTATTAGAATATTTAACTTTTTCCTAGTATGTTACTCTTAAGACTATTATGCTGAACAAACCTATACAATGTTCTTTGACAACACCTTTAACACTTTCTAAGGATAGGACTCAGAATAGCCAAAACAATCAGAAAAAAGAACAAAGTTAAAGAATCTGCCCTTCCTAATTTCAAACCTTACGGTAAACTTCAGTAATCAAGGCAGTGTGGTACTGGCAAAGGATGGATATACAGACCAAGGGAATAGAATTTAGAGTCCAAAAATAAACCCTTATAATTATGGTCAGTTGATTTTCAACAAGGGCACTGAAACGATTCAGTGGGAAAGAATAGTCTTTCAATGAATGGTGCTGGGACAATTGGCTCTCCACATACAAAACAATGAAGTTGGATGTCCTGCCTCGTACCATATACAAAAATTAACTCAAAGTCAATCAAAAACATAAGTATAAGAACTAATAACTATAAACCTCTCAGAAGAAAACAAAGGAGTAAATCTTTGTCTTAGATATGACAATGAAAGCATAAACAACAATGGATAAATTAAACATCACCAAAATTAAAATCTTTCACACTTCATAGGACGTCATTAATAAAGTGGAAAGATAATCCACAGAATGGAAGAAAATATTGCAAATATCTGATAAGGAAATTGTAACCATAATATATATGGAATTCTTACAATTTCACAATAAAATGGCAAAGTAATATTATTTGAGCAAAGGTGAGCAAAGGATTTGAATAGACATCTATTCAAAGAAGATATACAAATGACTAATTAGTCCATGAGAAGATATTTTTTTCTTTTAAAGATTTTATTTATTTGAGAGAGAGAGAGCATGAGAGAGAAATCATGAGCAGGGGGAAGGGCTGAGGGAGAAGCAGACTCCCCACTGAGCTGGCAGCCCCATGCATGATTTGATGCTGGGATTGTGACCTGAGCTGAAGGCAGATGCTTAACCGACTGAGCCACACAGATGCCCCCATGAGAGGATGCGAAACATCGTTTGTCATAAGAGAAACCCAAATCATAGCCACAAGATACCACTTCACACCCATTAGGATGGTTATTATTAAAAAGATGAACAGTATCAACTAGTAAGTGTTTCTGAGGATATGGAGAAATTGGATCCCTCGTGCATTGCTTGTGGGATTGTAAAATGTTGCAGCTGCTTTGAAAAACAGTTTGGCGACCTCTCAAAGTGTTAAACATAGAGTTATTATATGACCCAGAATTTGACTGCTAGCTATATATCCAAGAAAAATGGAAAGATCCAGCCAAAACCTTATACATGAATGTTCATAGCAACATTATTCCTAATAGCCAAAAAGTGAAAACAACCTAATGGCCATTAATGGACAAATGGATAAAAGCACTGTGGTATAGACATACAATGAACTATTACTCCACCATAAAAAAGCATGAAGAACTGATACGTTCTACAACATGGATGCACTTTGATAACCTTATGTGGAATGAAAAAAGTCAGAAACAAAAAGCCACATATCTTATTATTCCATTCATGCTAATTGTTCAGGATAAGCAAATTCACAAAGACAGAAAGTAGACTAGTGGTTGCCAGGTACTGGGGGGATGGTAGAAGGGATACAGTTTACTTTTGATGATATTTGTTTTGAAATTGGATAGTGGTGATGGTTGTGCCACTCTAAATACACTAATGACCACTGGATTATATACTCTAAAAGAATGAATTTATTATTTACTCTGTTTTTAAATTAAGACTCTAAGAATAAATTCTTTACAATGAGAAGTTATTTTTCATTTCCCTGAAGCCTTGGGATCCCGGGGAAGAAGGCAAACAGCAAGTTTGAAGGAAGAAAGAAAGGAAGAGCTAATAATAAATTTGGGAGAAAGGGTAGTCTCTACAGTTTTCTCTTTCCTCTAAGGAATCTCACTGTGTTCCTTGGGATTATCATGACCACTACATTGGAAGCCTATGAGATGAGGTTTTGACATTGGCTGGAAGGTACTGTTACACTGGTTGAGGATGACTATGGTATAGGTCATATGTCTGAGTGAAAGAGTTGGTAAATATGGAAGGAGAACAAGGGGCTAGAGAGGAAAGCTTGTTGATGGTAAGGTGACCAGTTACTTTGTTTTGTCTGAGACCGTCCTGTTTTAGCACTCAAAGCTGCACACTCCAGGGAAACCCTCAGCCTCAGGCAAACCAGGATGGTAGGTTATCTAGTTGGAAGCAACATGACAAGGACACTGATGGGCTATTATTTACTGAAGGCCTACCATGACACAGGCATTATGCTAAGATCCCTTTATGCATTATCTTTTTCAATTCTCACAGTCAGCTTCTCAGGTAATTACTGAGGTTAAGTTATCTGTCCTAGGTCAAATAGAAGAGCCAAGGGGCACCTGGGTGGCTCAGTGGTTGAGGATCTGCCTTTGGCTCAGGGCATGATCCTGGGCTCCTGGGATCCAGTGCTGCATCAGGCTCCCTGCAGGGAGCCTGCTTCTCCCTCTACCTATGTCTCTGCCTCTCTCTGTGTATCTCTCATGAATAAATAAAATCTTTTTTAAAAAAATGGAAGAGCTAAAATTTCAATCCCAGTCCATAGAGTCAGAGTCTTTAGTCTTAACCACCCCCACTCAACTGAAAGATTGAGCCAATAAAGTGAAAAAATTGAAAAACAAATTATCTATAAAGAGTGCTTTAAGTTTAAAAATGCTTTTTATACCCATGGTCACATTCCTCCCCTCTAGGAACCCATTCGTTCATCTGTGCATTCATTCAACAAGTCCTTATGGCACTTACTTGGCACCAAACTCTGTGTTAAGTGCTGAGAATAAGTCACAAACCTCTCTGTGGAGCTTATGTTTGGTGATAGGCCAAAAATAAGAAACAAAAATATCTGGGAGTTATGGTAAGAATTATGAAGGAAACAGAAGCACACAGAAACTATCAGAGGTAAGTTGGTTTAAGGCAGGATGGCCAGGGAAAAGAATCTGTAAGGGAGAAGGATTTAGGCTGAAGCCCAAATAATGAGGAAGAACTAGTCCCATGAAAATCCAGGGAAAACACTCATACGAGAGGACGATTTGCCCAAAGGTCCTGAAACAGAAATGAGCTTCTTATGTTTGAAGATACCAGGAAAGAAGAGTCAGTGTTGTCATAGCATATGTAGCAAGTAAAGCAGGAAATCTTATCTTTGACTTGTAGATGAGAACTTGAGGTAGGGTTATGAGACTTCCCAGTATCACTTAACTATGGGTCAGGCCTCAACCCAAGGTCTTCTGAGTACTGAGAGTTGTTGCTTTCATCTTATCTTGAAAAAGGGGATTTTTCTTATGGCTATGATTTTCAAACATTATAGGAACAGAAACCTTTTTTACATATAATCTCATATTAAAGCCTAATGTTTGAAACAGATAAAACCTGACTCCTCTCCTGGGGCTGGAGGTAGGGCTCAGGATCCCGGCTGTTCAAGTCCTTGGTACCCCTAACCCCTTTAGGTTCAGCTGCTGAACTGAAACCCTAGCGAGTTTTTAGTTCACAGAATCACATCTTGAATCACATCTTCACATACATTTGCCAAAATGTATAGAAGGGTTTTGTTTTTGTATCTTTAATTTTCATTCCAGTGTAGTTATATTAGTTTCAGGTATACAATCTAGTGATTCAATACTCCCATGGATTTTAATTTAGCTGCATATTAGCTTCTAAAAAGAAGTTTCTGTTTGGGGTTTGGTTTTTTCACTTACATGTTAGCGAAGCAGTACACGCAGGAATTAGAATATGTAACATTATTAGAAGCGCATAATGGGCTGACTCTTATGGAGCATGTATGTTTCCGTTGTGTAAACGTCTTTTGATAATAACTGCATTGAATGTCCTAAAACGAAACTCACAGGTAAAACTCTCAATCTTATAATGATTGGCTTAATGGCTTCTAATATAAGTTCCTGGGAGTTTTATTTTATGCAGACGAAGATAATGATAAAATACATCTTCCTTCACACTTTAAACATCAAACTTCCTTATCTTAAATTCAGCAGCCAAAGCCTTTGGGATTTCCACTTTGAAAGGCAGCTGAAGCTATATAGTCCTATACTTTGGCTCTATGATATGTATCTGTAACTTGTTAGAAAGGAAAGAGAACATTCAGGGAAGTGACAAAAATGCCTACAACTATTGTCCAAGTGCTTCTGGAATCATTTTAGTTCATCAAAACCCCCTTTCACTGTGGCGCTCAGATCAGAATACCCTGCATGGTCCCACTCTGCTATTGGCTATATTCCAGTCCTGAGGATTAGGAGGCTGGAGTAATGAGAAAAGATTATTTTCTCATTTTGTTTTTCTTCCTTCATAGTCCCAGAGTTGGTGTAAGCTGGATTTAGAGGACTTGACTGACAGAGTAGAAGAAGGGCTAGTCTATAGGTAGAAGGAGGGCTTGGAAAGTTCATGAGCACTATGTGATGAACAGATAAGTCAGCTGCCACAAATTTCTCCTTCATTGGCTCAAATCACAGTATATTCAGATATCCATAGATCAGGGTACTTCCCCGTCTATGAAACTTAAAAGGCTCTCATTACTGAAAGCAATGTTGGCCAACTTCTGTCATTGGTTCATAATTCCTTCCAAATTCATATGCCATTTTTCTTTAAAAATATTTTTTGTTGATTGGGCTTCTTTTTTAAACTTGACTATTCACCCTAGAAATGTCCTGAATATGAATATCCATGATATCTTGGGTTTGAAGTTGTAATTATATTTTTTTCTAACACACATTAAAGAAAAAATGTAACTATTATGATAAAAATATGCATTGTCAAATTAGCTAAAATCATCACTAATATTATTAGAAAGTTCTCGAATCACTTTTTTGGGAAATACCATTTATGTCTCTCATCTCCTCCTTTAGTGAGGAAGGCTACAAGGTTTGTTCAGGGAGGCTTTACCAAAAAATTGATTCTTTAGTGGATTCCTACAAGATGAAAATGCTTTCTAAAATTGTATAGGAGTATGAAAATGATTTAATTAGAGATGACTGTATACACAGAGGCAAAATTGAAATAGCATGGACCCCAAAATAGCTTAAGTTATTTATAAGGAGTGAAAGGAAATTCTCCTTTTAGTGAGAAAGAAGCTAGGTTGAAGAAGATATTGTAAAGGCATGCAAAAAGGTTTATCCCCACCAGTACTGGAAGTCATTATTCTAAAGAGATGTCTCAATCAGATTTGTATTTTAGAAGGCCCACACCTGTAGTGTGGAGAAGATGAGTACACACTTTTCCTATGAAGAGCATGGTATCAAATATTTTATAATTTTTAAGCCATATGATCTCTTTTGCAACTAGTCAATTCTGTTGTTACAGCCTAAAAACAGCCAAAGACAAATAAAACAGCCAAAGACAATACATAATGAGCATGGCTGTATTCCAGTAAAACTGTTTCCAAAAATATATGGCCAAAGTTTGCCAACCCCTGGATCCCACTCAGTGCAAGAAGACCCTTGGGTAGCCATTGCAATACTACAGCCAAGAAGTAAGGAGAACTTAATATGCAGGCAAAGCAATTAATTTAGAGGGAAGAAAAAAATAAAAATCAGAAATTAGGAGCTTTAATTGCTAGTGGTATATAGGATATGGAGGAGCTGTAGAGATAGGGATGAATCTTGGTTTACCCCAGGATCTATTTTGACAGAGATGGGTAGATTGAACTATATGTATTGCCATTATGCATATCAGAAATGCTCAAATAGTAACAATTACAAGTGGTTTAATACGGTGCAAACTAATAGAAATACTAGAAGCCTAATATTATAAAAAATCACCCTCATGTAGGAAGTAGAAAACTTACCTTGAATAAATGGTCACCAAAAATATCTGAAACAAAAATGTTTAGGAAAAAAAAGATCAAGTAAAAAATGTAGTGTTGAGTTAATTAATCCCTTAAGGAATCCCATATAAATTAATAACCATGAAAATTGTAGAAAAATATGTGGCTCTTTAACTCAAGATTTGCCCTGCCATGCCTCATTCCCAAAAACACTTCCCCAAACACACTTCGTGTCCTCCTTGAGAATTCAACCATAACCCATTCCTAGGTTTAATGCTGAAGTTAGGAGAGATTTAAACCCAGGCTTCATCCTCTGGGACTCAGCATATCATCCACCACAGGACTGCTCAGATATTGTGCAGACCCCTTTCAGAAAAAGTCTGGTTCTTAATAGTCAGCCTGGCTACCTGCTCACAGAAATCTTAGATGACTGCTTTCTTTTTTGATTATTGCCTGTCTTACATATCCTCTTTCCAAACTCCATCTGCTTATAAAGAAGCTTCTTCCTCTGTCTGGGATACATGCTTACCTAAACTATTAACAGTTCTTATTACCTTCAAATTTCATATTCTACTTAACAGCCTTGAATTCTTTTAGCAGCTGCAGCTGAGTATCCCCCCTGCCTCCCCTTCCACTTTACCGCTCCGCTGGCAGAGTTAGTTTCACCTCATGGGTTTCCCTTCCCATTTTGCTGGAGTTAATTAGAAAAGCTGAGCCCTCTCTTGAGATTTGATAACATCAGTTTGTGCTCTAATAGTAAGCCATGTTAGAAACTGATACTGCGGGATCCCTGGGTGGCGCAGCGGTTTGGTGCCTGCCTTTGGCCCAGGGCTTAATCCTGGAGACCCGGGATCGAATCCCACATCGGGCTCCCGGTGCATGGAGCCTGCTTCTCCCTCTGCCTGTGTCTCTGCCTCTCTCTCTCTCTGTGACTATCATAAATATAAAAAATAAATAAATAAAAAAGAAACTGATACTGCTTTGTGTAGAAGGTATTAGAATACACACATACAAAATACCAGTGTGTGGAAGTATGATGGGAAACTATTAGGAAGAGACAGGAGGAGAGATGAAACTTCTCATTAACTCAAAACCAAATTATTTGTCAAATAGTGATTATACCTCTCATCGATCATCCTTTAAACTATCTCAAATCTGAACCTGTCTATGGTAGAGTTTTGGGAATACAGAAAAATGGATTCACCACTGATATTCATTCTGGTTGAGGTAGTAAATATGTCTCAGAGAAATTTCAAAGGTTCAAAAATACATACATCTAGAAAACAGTTATTGTTGGCTTGTTTCTTCCCTTAGAAGATCAAATGTTAATTTCCTCCCCAAAGTTCTTTGACAGATTCTTACATGAGAAATAGCCAGTAGCCAAAATAGCCACAAAGAAAGTTTTCATCTTTTCCCAAAAGGAACAATGTGATTCATCCACCAGAGTTCCCTCCGTCAAGAGCTTCGTAGTGGATCCTCGAAGGCTCAATTCTCTTGAACTGAGGGCTCTACGCCCCCCCCCCATGAGAACTTGAGACCCTATTATGAAGTCACTCTGTAAATGATCTGTTTACATGTGACACCATGGGCAAAGTCACCGGGTCATCAAAGACTGTGAACACTTCCCAGGCCAAAATATTTCATTTGTAATAGCTGTAGAGCTGTGGCATGATATCCTTATTTAACATTGATTTGTTTGATTGTTAGATTATCATTCACTTCCACAGAAGTGCATTCCATTTTTTGACTAGCAATAGAAACAAATGTGAAAAAGATAAACTTAGAGTGAAATTTACGTGTCTATCTTCAAAACACCTGCTCACCATCCTCCTTCCCCCCACCCCCCCACCTCCTCACCCCACAAAGATTCAGATTCAGTAGGTCCAAAGTGTGACTCAGACACATCAAGCACACACACACACACACACACACACACAAATTGCATAAGACTATCTGATTCACCTCTTGAGAACCGATGGATTAGGATACCACAATTTTACATTAAAGGGCTAATTTTCTTGGCCCTTTCGTTGTTTACTACCTAATGGCAATTTTTCTTACTAGAGCAATCTCTTTATCCTTTTTATTGCCATGGCCTTGCCTACTTTCCTAGTCCTAGCATCTACTGTTTTATTTATTTATTTTTTTAATAATAAATTTATATTTTATTGGTGTTCAATTTGCCAACATACAGAACAACACCCTGTGCTCATCCCGTCAATTGTCCCCTTCAGTGCCCGCCACCCAGTCACCCCCACCCCCCACCCTCCTCCCCTTCCACCACCCCTAGTTCATTTCCCAGAGTTAGGAGTCTTCCATGTTCTGTCTCCTTTTCTGATATTTCCTACCCATTTCTTCTCCCTTCCCCTCTATTCCCTTTCACTATTATTTATATTCCCCAAATGAATGAGACCATATAATGTTTGTCCTTCTCCGATTGACTTATTTCACTCAGCATAATACCCTCCAGTTCCATCCATGTCAAAGCAAATGGTGGGTATTTGTAATTTCTTTTTTTTTTCATAGCCTTCACTTCTTTATTCCTCTGTCGATGGCGCTGACATTTTTAAAACTGGTTTTCCAGCCCATAAGTATTTTTTATTTATTTTTAATTTTTTTATAATAAATTTATTTTTTATTGGTGTTCAATTTGCCAACATACAGAATAACACCAGTGCTCATCCCGTCAAGTGCCCCCCTCAGTGCCCGTCACCCATTCACTCCCACCCCCCGCCCTCCCCCCCCTTCCACCACCCCTAGTTCGTTTCCCAGAGTTAGGCGTCTTTATGTTCTGTCTCCCTTTCTGATATTTCCCACACATTTCTTCTCCCCTTATATTCCCTTTCACTATTATTTATATTCCCCAAATGAATGAGAACATATAATGTTTGTCCTTCTCCAATTGACTTACTTCACTCAGCATAATATCCTCCAGTTCCATCCACGTTGAAGCAAATGGTGGGTATTTGTCATTTCTAATGGCTGAATAATATTCCATTGTATACATAAACCACATCTTCTTTATTCATTCATCTTTCGATGGACAGCAAGGCTCCTTCCACAGTTTGGCTATTGTGAACATTGCTGCTAGAAACATCGGGGTGCAGGTGTCCTGGCGTTTCATTGCATCTGAATCTTTGGGGTAAATCCCCAACAGTGCAATTGCTGGGTCGTAGGGCAGGTCTATTTTTAACTCTTTGAGGAACCTCCACACAGTTTTCCAGAGTGGCTGCACCATTTCACATTCCCACCAACAGTGTAAGATTTGTGTGTAATCAGAAAAGACCCCGAATAGCCAGGGGAATTTTAAAAAAGAAAACCATAGCTGGGGGCATCACAATGCCAGATTTCAGGTTGTACTACAAAGCTGTGGTCATCATGACAGTGTGGTACTGGCACAAAAACAGACACATAGATCAAAGGAATAGATCTGGAATAGAGAATCCAGAAGTGGACCCTCAACTGTATGGTCAACTAATATTCGACAAAGGAGGAAAGACTATCCACTGGAAGAAAGACAGTCTCTTCAATAAATGGTGCTGGGAAAATTGGACATCCACATGCAGAAGAATGAAACTAGACCACTCTCTTTCACCATACACAAAGATAAACTCAAAATGGATGAAAGATCTAAATGTAAGACAAGATTCCATCAAAATCCTAGAGGAGAACACAGGCAACACCCTTTTTGAACTCAGCCACAATAACTTCTTGCAAGATACATCCACGAAGGCAAAAGAAACAAAAGCAAAAATGAACTATTGGGACTTCATCAAGAGAAGAAGCTTTTGCACAGCAAAGGATACAGTCAACAAAACTAAAAGACAACCTACAGAATGGGAGAAGATATTTGCAAATGACGTATCAGATAAAGGGCTAGTTTCCAAGATCTATAAAGAACTTATTAA